AAAATATAGACAGACAGACAGACAGACAGACAGACAGATATTGTTCAGATTTGACAAAGCACTTTCCCAGACAACCCCAGGCAACACAAAGGGCCCTGTCAAAAGAAATCCTTGTCATAGCCAAGACCATGCTGCGCAACACTCTCAGAGGCCGGGAGGTGTGGGGGCAGTCTTCTGTGCTTCCCTGGGCCTATAGGTCAGGGTTTAAACCCTAAACCTTTAAGGATGAGGCTTGAAGCCGCGGAACAGTAGCAAGGACTTTGGGTGACGGGATGAGGGTCCGTGGCCAAGGGATCAGACTTTCAAGAGGAAACCTGCTAAAAATACACGGCAAAGGATTGTGGCATAATTGTAGGCGGATGATGGACATAACGTATCAGGCGTAGTTATACCCATCGCTTGCAAAAGCTGACCGACTGCTTCTATGTGACAAGAACCGTACACTAGGATGCTTGTCGGTGTGTTCTTCATCGCCGACGATCGATCCTGCACTTCAATCCAAGGCCGATACCAGCGCCCGTGGATTTCTCTTGTTGGAGTTGCTGCAGCATCGCCTGCACGACTACCAGGGTTTTGGGCTCAGGTTTTGGGGTGTTTGCTTTGACACCGCTTTTCCACCTGCCTGGTTAGTTAGGTCGAATGCCAGGTTTTAGGGTTTTGTGGAGGGTTCAGGGCCAGCGTCACTGCCAACCTTAGTTCGCCTCGTTCTGGGCCGAAGCGGTTAAAGGTTCCCGCATCCGCATGGCTGCACTCTGAATTCTGTTCTTCCGACAACCAACCCGAGCACTAAATCCCAAAAGCAAGAACTCCCGAAACAACATAAATCTTTCACCTTCGAACCTCAAAACTCTCTCAAAACCCTAAGCCCTAGCTCTGAGTTGCAGATGGCCGGAAATCTCTCAAACCTCAATCCACTCGCTTAAGAAGGATCCTCGGCCTTTGATAACGAATCCACTGCTGCAACGCTTTTGGGTTTAGGGTTTAGGGTTCAGGGGCGGCAAGAGTTTGAAGGAGGCTTTCGGGTATATTATCCTATACGATAAGAACTTCTTAAGGACAACTCGGGGGATGTTTCTGGAAATGAATCCGAAGTCCAAATATATCGAAACTTCCGGGTGCATGGGAGTGACATTTACTCGACTCGTTTCCACTGGGTATGGATCAAGTGAACAAGGGTGCAGTTTGGCACTGTGGCTCAAGCGGCTCAAATGTTTTGGACGACGACTGAGACGACATGAGACAACCCTCTCAAGCCCTAGCCTAGCATCGAGGTCAAACACTTTTACGGAGGTTTGCGTTGTAAGTACCTCTGTTACATGTTGTTCGAGCCTCTACGCTAGCCCAAGCGCTAGATCCTGCTAAATCCTAAACACCCAAACACCTTAATGTAGGGGCCTTAATAATAAGAACAGGGTTTTGGGGCCCCTTGTACGTATAATTATAATAAGGAGCCCCCAAAGTACTCTTGGTAATTATTTGGGCCCTTACATTTAAAAAAATACATACTCCATCCTACATCCTCACCTAAAACGCCAAACCCGGAACCCTACATCCTACAGTACCAGCCCTCTGCACCTTGAACAACCACCACACCACCCTAAACCCTAAACCCTAAACCTTAAACCCTAAACCCTAAACCCTGAACTTAAACCCTAAACCCTAAACCCTGAACAAAAACCACACCAACAGGCTCCTCTAGGCGATCGATCTGCATCCTCAGCTGTTGTTAAGTTGAGGCCCCGAGGTGAAACTCCCTAATATAGGAACCTGATTAAGAAACCCTGGGCCTTTATTAAGGTTGTATATATATATATATGTATATATATATATATATATGAACCCTAATATATTTGGGGTTATAGGGCCAGGGTTTCTTAATCAGGTTCCTACATTAGAAAGTCTGGTCTCCGCAGGTCTACGGTTTAGGCTTCAGGTGCTGAGGGGGCGTAGTTTAGATGTGTATATACATGTGAACTGCAAGACATACATGGCAACCACAGAACCCAACCAAACAGAAGCGTGAAAAGTGCGCACTCACATAGCAATCTTATGCAACCTCGCAGTGCAATGCTTTCCTCAGCCTTAACTGTAAAATTGCTTTGAGCTCGGGGGGTGGCCCGAAAAACTTGACCAAGCCCCGACCCACGCGGAGCATGTGGGGATTCTTGAGGAAAGCCCTTCAGTTGACAGGATTGCGGCCTGCCAAAGGTGACAACAACTTCAAACCCTAAACCCTAAACCCTCAAACCCTAAACCCTAAACCCCAAACCCTAAACTCTAAACCCCCAAACCCTAAACCAGAATACACAGATGCAAGAAAAAAGCACCACCTCTAGGACAAAAGCATCGCACCCGAAAAAGGGACGCCCCAGCTGAAGGCCTGCGGAGCTGTAAGGCGAAGCGGGAGACCAAGAGCTGAACCCAACCCATTTAGGACATTGTAATGTATCGTGTTATACTATATTATACTATATTATAGTAGACCGTACTATATTATACCATGTTATATATATATATACACTTACATATATATATATATATATATGTATACACTTATACTATATCAGACCCAGAGCCAGAAACAAAACAACAAGCGGCACCCCGAAGCGAAGCTTCGAAGGGAAGCAATCGAAACCCCGAAGCCAAGCAAGGCAACCCCTGCAGGCATTGCACGAAGTCCTTGATCGGATAGGGTTTAGGGTTTAGGGTTTAGGGTTTAGGGTTTAGGGTTTAGGGTTTAGGGTCAAGTGTTGTAAACAAGTAACACCTGGCATGACTGGTTCGATAATGACTTGGGCTCTAAACGCAACGGCGATGTCACAAAGACATTGCTGAAGCAGCTATGCCAGCATAATGCCGGTGCATGCTTCAAAAGGCAATGATTAACCAAAAGGGGCGAAACAACCCTGAACCCTAAACCCTAAACCCTAAACCGTCGGCGAAACGATGATCTTACCAGTTATTCTCATGACGGCTCTCATTTTGAGAGACTTGGGTCCGGGGCTTTGGGGTAGGGGCGTGGGCTGCAAATCCCCTCGTTTTTAGGTTTAGGGGTTTAGGGTTTAGGGTTTAGGGTTTAGGGTTTGGGGTTTAGGGTTTAGGGTTTAGTCTGGGTTTAAGATTTGGGATTAGGGTACCCCCCACACCTTCGCCCAAGAACACACGCACAACACAACACATCGCAGCAGAGCACAAGCACGACAACGTGCATTAGCACAGCACGAGAAAAATACAACTCAAAATCTCTTGGCGATTCGAGCTATTCTGCGCTTTAGGCTTCGCCATCCCTTAACTCCAGGCGCAGCCCAAACTCTGAATAAAACCTCCCAAAATAAAACCCCATAGAAAATACACTACGAAAGACCAAAAGCTCTGAACAAAATGAATTGAAAAAGCCAGAATCCTGACCCTAAACCCTAAACCCTAAACACTGAACCCTAAACCCTAAACCCTGAACTCTTCCACCCGGGAAAATCCGGATCTGCAGCTAGGGAGCTGCTGCTCGGCACACTTGTGCTCGGTAGCGCTGAGCTCCTGAGGCTTTCCGGTGGTGTGGATTTAGGGTTTAGGGTTTAGGGTTTAGGGTTTAGGGTGGAGGCTTATCGTAGGGGGTTCAGGGGCTCATAGGGTTTAAGGGTGTATAGGGCTGAAGGAATTAGGGTTCGGAGTTTGGGCTAGCAGGCTATAATCGTGGGGGGTTTAGGGGATGGATTCTTATGGCAATGTTACATTCGGGAACCCTAGGGAAGCATATATTCAACTGTTGATTTGGACACGCACTACTCTGGCAACAAGAAGAAGGCAACACAAAAACCAGGTCAGTGAACAACAAACGATTGCTAGTATTGACAGCACAGCCTCAATGTAGCACCTGCCACTGCCGGATGACATAATTTGGCGACATAGTTTACAACTGCTGCAGAGCTACTAACAATACACACATCAAGAACACAGGAATACGTACAAATAATGCAACCATAGTTTGATATTGATGAAAACAAAAATAAACATAAAGTAGTAGCAGTAATTAACCACTAACAATCAGAACAATACTAACGATACTAGTACCAATAATAATGACGATTATAAGTGTGATTGTTATTATCGTTCTGACTACAAAACACAAACACGGAAGACTAACAATAATAAAAATAAATAGCAGCGGCAAAGGCGATGAACACAAGTCATCATTACGTCAGCTGTAGTCCTACCTAAGCCCCCCAACTACCCTCTAATATACCCCAAATACCCACTATTAAGGACCATAAGGGCTCTATGAAAGGGCCATTGGGGTGTCCTAGTAGATTCCGAGATCTTGGTGGGCCCTAAACCCTAAACCGCAAACCCCTAAACCCTGAACCCTAAACCCTAAACCGTCGGATTGCAGCTTGGGGAGATCGGGCTGCGCACAACGACTTGACGACGCTCGAGCTTTCGGAGCGTTTGTCGTACTCACTGTTCAGGGCTTAGGGGTTCAGGGGTTTAGGGGTTTAGGGTTTAGGATTTAAGGCTTAGGGTTTAAGGTTTAGGGTTTGGGGTTTAGGGGTTTGGGGTTTGGGGGGTTGGGGTAGGGATTTAGGGTTTAGGGGTTTCG